GGAATTTTATCAATTAGTTAAATGTATTAAAATTATATTTTTATAAGTTTATAAGTGCATAAATATTCTAATAAACAACAAAATAAATGAGAACAAGTGAGATGTGAATGTGAGAGAAAGAAATGAATTAACGATAGATCAAAAAGTTATTTACAATTTAAGAGCACATAATCTTTACAGGGAGGGAGTAAAAAAACTAAAGTGGTGCACAGCTCACCTTAAATGCCTCGCTGCAACCATAAATTCAGTCATATGAATCGTTTGCAATAGCGGTCGTTCTTGGGTCGAGAACGGTCCAGAATACCAGAAGTCATAAAAATATTTCAATAGCTTGACTACAAGAAAACAAAATATACAGACGGACAGACAAGTTTAGATCGCCATAGTAAAGGGTGGATTATCTCAAACAGTCTACTGATCAGTGATGCAAATATTAATTTTGGGATTACCATATTACCGTCAAACACTGCCGCACAGTCAACAAAGGTCGGGCTTGTTTCGAGAAGCGCTAAGATATCATCAAACATCTTCCCTGGCCAGTTATCTGGTCAGAAGACCTCAACCTTGCCTCATGCCGTACGGGGCAATTTTACACTAGAGATTGAGGAGCAGCAGAAATTATACAAATACTCTACGAATCTATTTCGCGAAGAATGGCAGCAGTTGTTATGCGAGCAAGTGGCGACTCAATATCTTACATTAATAAACAAATAAATAAATGAACAAAATCTATCTCCAAATTCAAGTAATTTTTGGCTTTCATCGATACATAATTATAATCTCCCTCTGTAGGGTAGAGAACACTATTGACAAAACAAATATGGTGTACATGTCAAGCGTTCATATCAGTTTGCAAATCTCTTATTTATTTATTTATTTACACATGAAATTAATTCTTAGAAGTAGATCTTATGCTTACATTATTAACATAAACTAATATGACATGTATAAACAGAAGTAAACAAGACAAAAGGACGAAAACATAAAAGGAATAACATTGATGCATAAATAAATAAGACAGAGGAGAAAAAAAAGCATGTATATAGCTAGCAGCGAGGCATACCCACAGCCGGTACACATCCGAGTTGCAAGTAAACTTCTAAGCGATTGTAAACAAGCAAAAGCTTGACAACAGAGATAAGAGCAAACCAATACAACTATTTTCGAATCATAGTAAGATGTTAAGATTGCAAAGGTAGTTTGAATACGACATAGGTAAATCGGGCGCACTAAGGATGCTTGATTTGGTAGAATTCAAAGAAGCCGATATTGAGTTTAGGTGATTCGATTTTTGCAAACAACTTTGAACAGATTGAAAAGCTCATAATTATATTTACATCGACTTGTAACAACATGTGCGTGTTTGTCTATCAGATTTAATTTAATGTAGTCCTACACCACCACCAAGTACAGCAGTAAGCCTACGCCCTCTTGTCTCTAAAACTGTTATTTAAATAAATTTAAGAGCAACCTTGTAGTGCCATTAAAAAGGGGCGGAGAGATATGGAAGCCTATCAGTCATGCGTTCGTATCATAGCTGAGCTAGTTAGTTCGTAAGATGTGGGAGAGCGTCTTTGACACTTCTGAAACGTGTAAACCAAAGAAATTGCATGTGCTTGCCCTTTATTTAATTATGCAAACGGAAATCACATTTATTTAACTAACCGAACGGACACCCGGTCCCGGAGCCTGTCTCAACACAGACAGCCTATGGTTTTTCTTCGGCCCATCAAGAATTGTATTGAAAGACCGCGATTCTTATTTTTCCAATTTTCATTTCATTTAAATCTTCGCCATGCTTCTCCCATCGCCTTTACCGAAAGACACGCAAAGCCAGAAACTAAAAAAACACTATCAACTAACTCTCTTCGTACGCGATCTTAATAAACTAACTAATGCCGAGTTGCATTTTAAGCAAAGGTAATTTGTCAAGTTAAAACCATACACTACAAGCTTTATGAAGATGAAATTCTTAGAGAAGCGATTCGGAACATTAATATGACCAACTAACCTGAGCGACTCACATTCAAACGGAAACACCAAGAACAAATATAAGTTTCCCAAGTGATAACGGTAAGGCAAAAGCAATCTACTTGCATGAGGAGAGAAAGAGATAAGCGGCTCCCTAAGGGCAATGAGCAGAAATTGCTTTTAAACATATTCTACTGAATCTACATAACATTTACACCCAACAAAGGCCTGACTAAGTTCATAGTATAGCCTTTTTGTAATGTAAGGATCGTTAAGCTCTTTCGACCATCGTTTAATGAATGAACCTTAGCGCCGACGTAGCTTTACGAGAGCTCAAGAGACCCAGATTAAAACGTAATCTACGGCCGAATCAATGTTTTTTTTTATAACTTGTGTGAATCGATGGAATTCTCAGTATTGAATGACTTTCTGTTTGAGAAAGAAAGCTTCTTGCATTTTTCGTAGAATTAATTTCATAAAATTTATTCAAGTATATAAAAATCATTCAAGTTTTTGTTGTTGTTAGAGAGGAGGCAATTAGTGCAGAATATACAGTTTGCAGTCAAGCAAGCAAGTCGAAGTTTATTTTGTAATTAGAAACAATGTTGACAGGAATTCAAATGTTTATGTATAGAGCTATTCATAGTCTATCTGTCTACTAAAGTTTTCTATACAAGTATTGATATTAATCATATATACATTGCAACAGAATGAAAAGAATTTTTTTTTATTGATTTTTTTTTTTTTTTTTTTGCAAGAAATTTCTTATACCATTAGGGATAGAATATTCGCTATTGCATCGCGTAATTCGATCGCTTTAAGTAATTCTAATTATGGATTCCATTCATATTGTAGCTAATTAAGACAATTTCCTGACACGGACCTTGACACATATTTGCTTTTGATTTTACATTTGCACAATGATTCCTTTACTCCTTAATGCAAACTATTTGTAGGAAGAGTACATAATTTTATGTATATAAAAGTCTTTAACAACAACAACAACAACAATTGACCTTAAAACGCCAACATGGAGTTTGAAAATATTTTAAGTAGAACGTGTGCCACATATTACTGAAGATAAATAAAATATATATTGAATTTATTTCACTTTAGATCATATCTAGGATAAGCATTAAGCTGGCTAAGTTAATGAGAAGGCTCGTAATTTTAAATGAACTTATTATTATGTATGCATACTAACGCGTAAGCGAGATTTTAGTTCATATCCATGATATTAAATTAATGCCTACACTAGGAAAATACTATGCATGATAGATAGTAATTATCTAATGGTAGGGATACCAATATGTGATTCATTGGTGGTGTTGTGTCGCGTAGCTTAGTATTAAACGTTAACAATGGCATCATTGGCATCGGTAGACAGACGATAATATTGCTTTGCATCAACAATAATCTACAAATAAACATTGCATTTGATTACGTACATAAACAAACAAGCAAACACGCATATTATGCATACACGCGCGCACAAACACACAAACACACACACATCCATATGTATATATGATTCCGTGAACACTTATTTATTCACATATATAAATATATATATATATATATATATATATAGATATAGGAAGAGAGAGAAACAGATAGATTTGTATATATAAATGTATGTTACATTTATTTGGTGAATGTTGGGCCTTTGGTTATACGTACTTACATATTTATGCATGTCTGGATCTATGTGTACTCTATACATAGACATCATCGTGGTCGTATGCCATACTTTCAGTATCAACAGACTTTTCTTACAATGAAACTCATTCGATTGTACATGTATATATATATGATACGTACACACACGTTTGTCTCTGCCCGTATGAACAAAAATTTATATACATATATATATATATATATATATATACATATATATATCTCAGTATATGTATATTTGTAAGCAAAGCAAAAAAAAAAAAAAACAGAAAAAAAGGAAAAAAAAAGCATATACGGTGCTATCATCATCAATTGGGTCAATGTCAAGGCCGCCGAAACGTTAAATATTTTTGTTTTGTTGTTTTGCTACTCTTAACTTGCTTGGCGGATTGCTTTGTACGTTTATACGGTTACTCTCCGCCTTTGTTCTTTTTTTTTTTTTTTTTTTTTTTTTTGTCATTTTTCACTTTCTAGTGAATTTTCTTTACCATTGCTTTTCATGCAACACAACACACACAGCATTAATGTTAACACACAACAACATCATTGAAAGTCTTTAATATCACATAAATAAATAAATACATGCATGTGTGTGTGTACCTTCGATAAGATGACGCTGAACGTTTATTTATTTATTACTCTTACTTTTCGTCTTAAACTCAGTTTCAATTTAAAAATTTAAAAGAAGAAGAAGAAATTCAAAACAAATCTCATTTTCTTTGTTGTTATTTGAATTTGAACAACGCAATGCATATAATGCATATATTGTTGTTGTAATATTAAATATCATTGGGACATTGACATAAGTGGTGGATAATATTATTAGTAAGCAATGAGATATTTTTTACTTTATTATAAAAAAAGCTTTATTTCATCGCTTGGAGACAGAACGTATGACCTAATTAAGTTGTACGTACGTATGTACGTATTTTCAACGTATAATACGTGCCTGTTTTTCTGTGTTTACGCACCAACGAAAGATATATTCAACTAAACTAACTAGTCATTTATACTAACATCAACAGTCATAGTCTATTACGAAACTAGTAAAAATTTGAATTGTTTAACTTTTACTTAACTTGCCTTAACTAATGTCTGAAGTAGTGTTGCTATAATTAGTGGTGTGATACTAATGTTAATATTATTTTTATAATTTCTAAGCTAAGAATATGGTTTTGATGTAAAATAGTCACGGGACACGTTTCTAGGAAAGACTTCTTCCTTCTTCTCACCCGAAATTTGCATAACATTGATAAAATTTTATAAACATACGAGATGTTTCAGTCGGTTTTGCAATCGTCTTTATCAACATTTTATTACTAAATGAGAATTTTTAACACATGTATGTTTGGTTTTTTTTTTTCCTATATTCTGAGTCGGTTGTATTAAGTCAGATATTTAACGACCAAGGAAGCAATAAGCGGAAACATTCTTTCATTGCCAGTTGGAAACAAGTAAGAAAATTATAATGCGACACCGGCCGGTCATTAAATACACTACACGTCACTCTACAGTTAATCATGTAACAAACTTGTCAACGTAAGATCGAACCATTTCTTCGGTTAATGTTGTTATTCATATAATGACTTTTCAAAATAACAATAAATTACATTGAAAGGAGACGAAAAAGTAGACCGAAGTCAACGATTTTCAATAACGTTCCTTGGTATGCCAAATGTTATTATGACCTGTAGGTTCAAGACAAGCAAACGAAACAAACAAGACAAACTGATGGACAGACAGACAGGCTTAGATTGATAATAAAAAATAGGACTCCCTACGTCTAAGTGGCAAAGTAGGACCTCCGATAACAAATCAATGGTCGTGGGGATTCAAACCTCATGTGTGGTAGAGTCCTTGATAAACTCGTTAGCCTCGGACGTTAGTGCTTGGAGACGATAGTCTTAAGCTAAATTAATAATAATACTTGGAGCCCTTCTGAATGCTTCATATATCCGCACAAGCTTAACGTACCACACGTATCACTTACCATAAGTGATATCATAGCTTCATAGCTTCAATGGCTTCAAAAGGTCACACGTCAAGTATCATGACATACAACACATAGGAAGGAAATCAACAATTTTCTCTCGTCAGAACAGTTAAACAGAAAACCAGAAATTTTTTTGGCTAATATATGGTTTGCACCTTCAAAAAACTTTTTTGTTAAAAAAAAAAAAATTTTTTTTCTTTGAAATTTCGAAGTCTCGCCGAAACCTCTGCAATGACTACCTTTGTGTCAATTGAAATTATGCTGGGAAGCCATGTCTAAGCTATTGATCTATATTTTCCCTAATACAATAGCAGATGCCTGTAGAAAGTATTTATGTTGGTTTCAAAAGATTTCCAATCGCATTAAAACAACCGTTTGACTTGGTGTACCGAGTTAAGAGTAGGTTATGTTGAATCATAAAATTTAAACTTGCAACAACAAGAAATTTACTAAGTACCGAAGTTATTGGTCACTCTGATATTGATCATTTGAAAAAGTAAACCATGATATTCTCTTAGGAGATGTATTACATTTCCTAGAAGTCTGTAGTGTATACATATAAGCATCGGAGACTTATAAAAAGATGCCAGATAGCTCAGTAGACAAGAGCTGCGATATTCGCAGATTCATATCTCAATTCAGTACACGATACCTAACCGTAGATGTACCACAGTCATATCCGAATGTATCTGAACAATACCTAGCCGTAGATATGATGACTTGATGCCAATATTTTCCTGGGCCGTCTAGATATTCGAAATCAATCTATAAATCTCGTTTACAGCGTGGATGTAGATCAGCAACAGCAGCCGAATAGATAAGAATCGCGAATACTAGTTGGTGCTAGTTGGTGCAAAACTCAGTGCGGTAGAGTTGACTTTGATCGTAGCTTTAGTGAGTGGTCAGTTGGAAAAGTGATAACCCTAGTCGGCCAGACAAACGTCCACAAAGCTGCGGCTGCGAATCCCTCTCGATTCTCACTTGTCTTTCTTCTACATATATAAAAAATATAATATCGACAAACAGTCGACATTGACGGAGTGTCATGAACTCTAGGTCGACATAAGATTTGGTGCAAGAAATACGATCTCGACACATAGCCGACATTGAAGGAGAGTGAAGAAATTGATAGAAGAAATATAAAATCCCCTATATACCCGCTTGGGTGCGGCTAGACTCTATCTCTCTTCCTTTGCTTATTTCTTTCTAACCAAGACCGTATTTACATAGACGTGTTGTGGACATCCCCCTTAAGGGATTGGCGTGAATATCGGGATTGATTTACGCATATATACCGGCAGTCGTGGGGAAATTTCGCGGTTTAACGCAAATAGATATTCTTATGCTCACCAATTGCTGGCCGAATAGTTAGACGTATTTAACTTTCTTCTTTTCCGTCGCACGCGGTTCTTTCAGGCACCTTCAACTTTGGCGGCTTTTCTCGTTTAGTTCGCCCAATTGCCTACTGAACATTACTGGTCACTTTAATTTTAGCTTTTTTTAAGTGATGAAAGGTCGCCTTTTTAACCCCATAACTAAAACGTGATAATTAGTTATTTTTATTTGCCGAAATTGCTGCACACAACACAATAAAAAAGCAATTATGTTATTCAATACTGCAAGTAGATAAACCATCAAGCTTATGAGATCAGAAAAACATGTCTGCACCTGCATCACGTGAGAACGCAACAACGCAATAGAAACAGGTCTGTACTTGTTTATACTCTGGTACCAATATATTAACATTGCAATTGCAGCACAGCAAAAGTAAATGTAAGATTAAAAGTCAAAAATACTGCGTATAATAGCGATTACATAGAATGCACTGTGTATTTAATCCATTGGTCAGAAACCGCATATATTAAATAAGTTAACCATTTGTAACGTCTAGATATAGGGATACTAGCATTATAAAGTTTAAATACTTTTAATTAAAGTGAGTAAAGTCTTGCCCGTGTGTCCGTCCGCCTATTGAAATCGCATTTGTCGCATCAAAACTTCGTGTAGGAAAAAGAAATGTCTTCTCAAATTTTAGCAACACAAATGGCACAACGACATTATTCATCTTGCAATTAAATCGCGTACTTAAGTGAAGGGCTTTAAAAGGTTCAGATCAAGCTGCATACAAAGTATTTATTGCCTGCATTCAATTTCGTAACACACTGACCTAAGTTATCATGAGGGATTTCATTGTGATTTGTTGTTCAGTAGGCTTCTAAGTCACCCATGTATTTGCTAATAACCCCCGAACCTTCAGCGCTTCTTGAATTTGAAGAAAAGAGTTTATTTTATTTCATTATTTCGAGGAAGTTTTGCCTGCGTGCTGGACATGTTGTCGAGGGGACTTCCTTTTCGGTCCAAGTATATCGCATAAAATATTTAAATAGGCCGATAAGTACTGATTGTATCTTAGTCAGCTAATTCAACGTAGTTATCCTTTGCGAAGCACTTCAGGCTAATGTATCCTAGACTAAGGTACTTTAGGCTAAGCTACCCTAGAGTCAAAAAGGCAATACTGCAAAATCGCGGGATGAGTCACCCAGAGGTGAACGCATTTCTAAGCCTGTCTGTACGTAACATTTTTCCTAAGCGGTATTTGTGGGCCAACTAATTGCGAAAGATGAAAGTACAATTTCACTATTATCGCGACAAGGATTTTCAATCTAAAAAAGTGCCGAACTTAACTCGCACCTTTTAGTATCTAACCTTTGTTTCATTTCGAAGGATTAGTTTAAAATTTTAAGAACGACTAAGCTGAAGGTGTAGAAGAAAGTCCATTCCATTCACTATGCGAACTGAAGGCCGCACAAAAAATGTGTTGAGATCTTGCAATATCTTAAAAATTGAAAATTCATTTCTCTTTAACAACCTACGGCACTACATATGCTGGCCTATTTTTATTTGATTGATATATATTCGAGTTAATGTTACGCAACTCCCTCAAGATCATTGGTTTTAACCAATTAGATCTTGAATTTTACAAGGTTGCAGCAAATAGTGCAGTTTAAACGAACTTCCATGGCTACTACGCCTTTCTCAGTAAACAATCAACTAACGCTATATGTTATGTTCACCCAAGAAAAATTGATGAATTCCGGTTTGAATATTTTTCATCATTTTCCTTCCACAAAGAGATAAAAGAGAGAAATAAAATACAAAGTTCAATTCTAAGAATGCAAAAAACTTCAGATAGTCTCCTTTGCCAAAACGGTTATAGATAGTAAACTCAGTTGTAAACTAAACGTACCATATACCAATAATTTTCTATGAATATGAAATTCGGAAGCTGGGTGACGAAAGCCGTCAATTTGTAGAATTTAGCTTATATACGATGAGGTGAATTGTATGATGAATACAACAAAAACAAACAAATTGTGAAATCAACTAATTATTTAGAAAAGTTTCTTTTCCTTTTACTCAATTCATTATTTTTCTAATTTCAATCTACAATCATCGAAATTTATTACTTCATCGAAGAATATCAAAAGCACATACTTTTTTCAGTTCGGCGGTTAATCGACAACTTGGGCTATACAAACTGCGTATACACAATATAGATAGATACTTTACTCTCTGTCTCTGTCTCTGCTGAAATGTTTTTCAAAGAATGTCCTTTTTTTTTTTACTTTTAAGGACAACGACAAATGCAGCAACAACAAGCTATGTTGTCGAAAGTAAATTGCAAATTAATTGAAACCCAAACATTGTGAAAATAAACACTGGCAGTGTTAGTTAATGAAAGCGGGTACGAAGAGTGAATTAACCACCCAAGGGCGAATTTTCTCATTTCTCTTTTATTTTTTTTTATTTTTTTTATCAATTCAGTAGACAAACTCTTTTTTTTTTTACTGGCAGTTCAGATAAGCATTTTTGCAAAATGCTTATGGTTTTTCTTATGATTAAAACTACAACAGAAACTGATATTTTTATTTTGTTTAAGTTTTCCTTCTTAATTTTACGATTTTGATATGTCGTAATAGATGGACATCTGGATGGAAACGTTTCGAATTGACTACAAATTTCATGTTGATAAAAAGTGTATTCAAAATTTAACCAGTTTTCTAGCGCATGTATCGTTTTCTGTACATAAAATGGATTTTATATGCAGTTTTGTCCGGATGTATGCAACACCCAGAGGAACTCGAGCTGAGCCCACTTTTTATTATACCGATCGGTTTAGAATCACGTTCTGAATCGATTTAATCATGTCTGTCTGTCCGTTCGTCTTGGTTTCTCGTGTTCAATCTACAGCTTGTAATTTGTGAAATGTTTTGCTGATAAATTTTGGCCAAAGCTCGGACGCTCTTAAAAGTGGTCAAGATCTGATCACTTTTCGACCACTTTCCTGGTAACATTTTACTTTAAAACTCGTTGCATGGATAACTGTAGGGTAGCTGTAGTACATTTAATGGTGGGTCGTAGGCGCCAAAGTATTTTTACTTATTTGAATTAATATCAATATAATATAAAAATTATTTAAATTCGTTAATTCACCCATTTGCTCATTTTTTGCTGTTAATTGTACTTGTGAAAAATATTTTCACCCATAAATTCCAAAAAAAAAAAAAAGTCAATTCGATATTATTAAATTTATTAGTGTGTACCGAAACAGGTACAAGCGGTGTAAAGTTGTCATCTACCCTTATAAATAAGTAAAGGAAAGCATTAAAAAAAACTGGTGCCCAGCGTCATCCGTATTACAAATAGAATAATAAAACTTTTCCAATTCAATCTTTAGTAAGTGAAACGAAAAACTTTTAAGCTACAGTAAGGCTGCTGATGATTGATTCAGTGCGTCTGATGAACTTAAAAGTTTCAACATTTATAAAAAGAGCATTGGTAATGAATAGGATAATTGCATGGATTAAATGTAAACGAAAATGCATTATTTATTTATTAGCTATTCAAGCGATCAAGTCTATGAAGTCCTAAATTAATAGAAAATAATTATTAATCTTTGGATATAATAACACAATTGGTTTATCTGTTAGAGATACTTGGAAAATTTTTCTCACATAACGCAACATTTCGAAAAAGAGTTTTATATGACTAGTGTGAATTACCCGATTCGAACTAACTCCAGCATTTACAGTAGAATTCGCCCTTTGGCCAAAAGGTGTCCGTATATGGATCTTCATCAAAATTCTTCGAATACTACCACTCGTAGGACGCACAGGCATACTTAGTTCGATTCAGGAATTTATTCTGAATCCATTGGTGAAGTGGAAAGTAACTCCATTTCAAACCGACCTGACCATTGTATACATCCGAACACATTTTATATACCTTTACTATAAATGATGCGTACAAAAGATATTAAAAAGTTCAAAGCGGCCTAACGCATACCTCCTACAATTGTCGCATAAATCGATTTTATGTCACGAACATTCACAAAATGTGTGCATTTGCGAGCGAATGAAAAAAAGAACACAAAAACAAAAAAAAAAAAAAAAAAACACGGTAAAAACATTGTGTAATTAAATCAGTCTCTTACCTGATGCGGTGATGGTGACGCTTGCGATGGTTGAGGTGAAGGACTCGGCGCATGACTGGGACTACTGCTGGGTGGCGGGCCACCATGTTGCGTATGATGCGGCGATGCTGGTGGCAGGGGATGACCTCCGGGGCCAGGACTAGGAGCAGGTGACGAACCGCCAGGCCAAGGCCGATTTGGTTCAGGATACTACAACAAAACAGAACACATAAGCGGTAAGTAAACGAAAACATATATAAAAAAAATAAAAATAAGTAAATATTTATATTCGGTTTTGGGCGTTACATCTCAATCGTTCATATATATGTAAACATATACTATATATGTGCGTGTATGTATGTATATGTACATATATATATATATGTATAAATACTCATAGGGACGGTTAGTTGCTCGATCCGGACCATTTTTTTAATGAATTTTTATATGGGTATAACGAGTGTTTATAGAATCGAGTTTTAGACCAACATCTGTTATAAGTCACGGGTAACATAATGATTGAGAGTAACGCTCGCGAGTCTCTTTACATTATGTTCTTGCCGGGCTGTACCTAACATCCGCAAAAAGAGTTACGTATGTCTGCCTTCATCGACTGAGCTACGCCCGAAGCATATGAAATTTGAATTTGCGACGCCGGACTCGATAGTCGTGGTTCTTATCTATTTGGCTACTCAGGCGGAAATGCATTTGAAGGCTTCATAATTTCTAGGCTTGGAGAAGAACTGTACATCGGGGAACAACTTCAGCCTGTACTAACAATCCGTTTACAGATCGAAATTAAGGCACAGAATGTAATCTTGATCAATGGCGTCGATCAAATTAGTGTAGGCTTCCATCGCCGCTATGCCGGTGCATGCATATTTTTAATGATTAGGCAAAAACTAATGTGGTTCGGTTGAGAAGTTTTGATGCATCCTCTATGTAGCCCGGATCTCGACCCATTTAACCCGCCTTTTTTTCACTCTATACAGAACCCTCTTAATGGTATAAAGTCGACGTCAAAATCGGCCTGTGATCATTTAGGTTAATTTTTTGAAGAGATATTCCATAAGTTCTATAGTGATAGCGTAAAAGTTATCGATCAATAAGGGTGTGAAGCTAAATACGAATTTATTTAGTAAAGACACGTACTCTCTCTCTCTCTCTCTTAACAAACTGCTGTAAACGCCCTAACAGCTCTTTGTTAATTACTTAGGATTATGGTTTGGATTTGGAAGCTTCCTTCGTCTAAATTAGGAAACTCAGAATTTGTTAGCGGACATCTATTTTCATGCAGAGACTAACTTTTCATGAAAGTCCGCAAATTGGTAGATTTTTAAAACAACACATGATGTGATCCAAATTCCGCATCGTTAATTCTTTTGCTCAGTCTACTATGGATAAGTTTTCATCAAGATATATTAAAGATTCAATCTTTTTCTGAACGTCTTACTATTCATGAGCAATCTTGTATAGAATAGCGTCGGTCCAAGAAATAGACACATTTGATTTAGATTTGATTCACTTAATTGTTTATTAATTTAATTACTACCTTGAGCAAATTTTCATCAAAGATCATGTGATTATATCATATGAATTTTTGTGGCACGTAAAGAGAATCTTTGTATGCATTGATATCCAATAAATAGACCTACTTGGCGGCTCAAATTCCCTAAGATTCATTTCTTTACCCATATTCTGTTTTGAGTCAATTTTTACCATGAAATATTGAAAACTATACCTAAAGAGTTTCTGAACGGTTATATGAGAGAGAGGGGGTTGACAAAATTCTATGGTGAATTTTGTTGCAAAATTTTGAAAACTGCAATTTTTTAATCAAGTTTAAAAATAAATCATTATATGGTAAGCAATCGAAAAAGTGAACCAATCGAAACCATTTTCAATATCAAACGTTTTTGGTTCGGGCCAAAACACATCAGCGTACTAAGGTTCATTAAAATATATAAAAAATAGCAACCTTTAGGTTGAAGACGACATCAGACAGACAGACAGACAGACAGACAAGCTTATGTCAATTCAGAATCATTTTCTGAATAAAATGTAGGCATATTTTAACACCTTCTAGGTGTTACATACGCCCGCACAAACTCAATATACCTGGCGCCACAAATGACGTAGGGGACAACAAATGTGCTTGAGCTTACCCTTACCTCGTACATCATAGATCATTAATGAATATTTTTATTTTGGTTTTTACTTTTTTAATTATTGTGGGCGTGTTTATGGGCGAATCTGAATGATAAAATGCATATGAATTATTTCACTTTTATAAATCAATGTTTAAAGCGAATAGATGCGTCTTCTTGGCTGACATTTGAATTTTTATCGTTTACAGAATTTCTGCAGTTTTCGAAGAGAACAACAAGCGATAAATTTAATTACCATCCTTTGACGGTGAATGTGACAAAAAAAAGTTAGTAAACAAGTAGATAAAGACAACATTGTCTTATTTAAGTGTAAATATCTTACTCGGCTGATGGGTAATAATTTTGTACTAAAAACTTTATATAGTCCTGGCAAACTTTAAACAATTCCTTGATCTTTATCTGCTGATGTAAGTGTAAACAAAATTTTGAAATTCACAAAATGCTTTGGCTTGGATTTTAGAGAAATTTTGAGAATAATGCGATCCTATTCTCTTTGATGCCAACCCAATGTCAACAGAGAGCCTAACTGTACCCAATTTCGACTAATTCATGACAAAACGACAAATTGCTTTTCTCAGTCTTTCATCGACATTGACAATTGCCATGCAATGACAAACGAGCGTACGATCAAACTGCGGACAAATCATTCCATGATATCTGTGATGCATTTCGATCTGTTGCAAACGCAATAACAAAACGAGTATATTCGCAGGCTTCGTTTTAACGTGTGGGTATGAAATAAACATACACAAATGGAATATTAACAACAATGCAAACTTTAATCGAGTTTGCGGTGTATGTGCATTTGTGTTTTGGGTCTGTGCGCGCCTCAGTGCGCACGTATGTGCTCATATGAATATTGCTCGAATGTTGTTGTGTGAGCAGTAAATTGAAAAAAAAAAAAAAGACAATACAACCTAAATAAAATATATCTGCATAAAATAATCATTGAAAAAAAAACCAATCAATTTTTTTTTTTTTGAGCTTTAAAAAAACAACAACATATTCTTTTTGTGTTGAATTTCACATTTAAAATTTTTGCTTCAATAATTTTTGAATAAAAACATTTTCAATGCAATTATTTATATAAAAACATAAATAAAAGTCCGTCGCATTCCTTCTGCCCGTAATTTAAAAAAAAGTAGTGTTTGAGCCCTAGATAATGAAATTAATATCATTGAAAGTAGACCGCTAAACACACGAGACAAGGCAAAAATGGCGAATTTTTTATTAAGCCCCATATCATCCATCCTAAGCGCTATATTTAATATTGCAACGAAAGGCTCCACAACGCGATAGTTTACCGTGGTGTGCATGAATATCATGTAACGGATACATTTCCAAGATTTTTATACGATTTGGCAGCACTTTCCTATTTATGTTAAGGAAAAAAGTAATGCTTGCATTTGTATATGTGTGAGGGCGCGTTCTCGTTTCGGTATAACCACATTTTTGATCTTACGCCTCTTGAAGATTATAAACGAGGTAACCTTTTATATAACCATCACCGAAGCATGAGTGATACATCTGTTTTCTCAAAGCGCTTCAGAGACCGCACACAATGTATACATTCCGAATTGATCATGTCCGTCAGCACGCCTGTGTAATATCTCCTGGCCTCAAAAAAAGCTATTTCATATTTAGCAGCAATATTAGAAGTCCTCCCACGCAGATTGATATTCAAAATGTGTTAAATCAATCAAGGACCTACAGTGCCACGTGAACTGAGAACATCTCCGTTTTTTAAAGGGAATGAAAAAGTTGATATTTTGTTCCTTGGTCATAAATTACAGCAAATAAATCTACAAAAATTTGAATGTATATTCTATGATGCGATGGGCAATGGTGTACAAAAATGTGAAAAAGTTACCAAGCCTACCATATATAGTGTGTCAAAATTTCGTCTTTTTTTTTCAATATTTTTATAACGCTCACATGCGAAATTCAAAAATCCCATAAAGTATATAAATTCTTGGTCAGTTTCAAATTTGGAATGCACCTAACCATGCCCGTCTATTCGTCTGGCTGTGGTAAACATCCTCCCGCTCACGAAAGTAAAGGGATCGCGTAGAGATTTGCAAAGGAATTTGAAAATTACCCAAATATTTCAAAGGAGACGCCTACAAGGTCTATGTAATTGTGAATAATTTTTGGGGGGAAGGGGGGTGGAGCAAAGTTTATGTCCACGTATTAGATAAATATTTTGTGAGACCTATATATATTCCATTGAGATGGCTATGAAAAATAAGTCAAGTTTAATATTACTTTATCACGACGGCGTTACTTTGCCTGGGAGCCGCTTTTAAATTATGACCTTTTCTTATTAAAAGGAAGGTCCGCCTTTTTCAGTGTTGTCTGTGAGCTCCGAGAAAGTCGAGTTTTGCGGCAAATAAACGCTTAACTGGGAAGGGGTCATCTTTCTTGCTTCGCAAAGTGCTGCTGAATCACGAGGAGTCAACAGAAATGGTCACCTTTAAACATCGGTCAGATGGTAAGATAAAACCATGGATATTGACCATCATTGCCTTATAAGTCGTTTCCATCGAACGACCTGAATACTGAGGGATACTGCCATCAAAATTAGTCTAATTACGCCGACCGTTGAAGGAAAAATGACCGCAGTACGAGAAAAGGTAAGACCATTTTATAAGAATGATGATGCTATCGGCTCTCCAGCATTCGATCAACACCTAATTCAACCGATGATTTGATGATGAGTTGAGAGGACCCCTTTTAAGACGCTAATGGACAGCAAACTATTTACCATCCTTGCGATAAAATACAAATTCCAATACGAAGCGATGATAACTAGTCGTTTGAGGCTGAGGATGTAGGATGACTATTGACGAAACCATATGATTTTTAGATAGGTCCAACCTTCAAACGAAATGTGCCGAAATCTCGCCAGTCCTTAGTTTTCAAATTACAATTGCCTTAGTGGCGTTACAAACGAAGTACAGATTTGTTCCATGGCTTTACAAACCGAGTAGCATTGCTACTAAGACTTGAGCAACTATCGTTGGGAATGTTATCAAATTTTGA